TCACAATGGAGATCCTAGACCTGTGGGAGCTACCAGAGTGGAATGGCAGCCTGGGAGAGCTGAAGCATCACCTGAGACCTGGAAAGCCATAGGAATGGAGCTGCCAAAGGATTTGGAGACCCAACCCTGACACAACCATGCATAGGAGGTCGAACGTAGGATCAAGGTACCTGACTTGCCAGCCTTGAGATTTAATGCCTGTCCTGCTGGGTTTTGGACTTTTTTGGAACCTGTTACACCTTTCTTTTGGCCTATTTCTCCCTTTTGAAGTGGGAATATGTACCTTATGCTTGTCCCATTATTGTATTGGGAAGTAGATAACTTCTTTCGATTTCACGGATGGGACTTTGAACTTTGGATTTGAGTTGAAACAAGACTTTGGGGATGAAATGAATGTATTTGCATGCGAAAAGGACACTTTTGTCCCATTTCTCTGCTTTGGAATGGGAATATATACCCTATGTTTGTCCCACCATTGTATCTTGGAAGTAGATAACTTATTTTGTCCCATTTCTCTGCTTTGGAATGGGAATATATACCCTATGTTTGTCCCACCATTGTATCTTGGAAGTAGATAACATGTATTGATTTCACAGCTGGGACTTTGAACTTTGGACTTTTGGGTTGAAACAAGTTAAGACTTTGGGGATGAAATGAATGTATTTGTACGTGAAAAGACATCAGTTTTGGAGGGTCAGGGGTGGAATGTAGTGGACAGAATTATGTCCCCCCCAAAACTCACTGAAGCTTGAATTGTGTCCCCAAAGTTTATGTATTAGAAACTTAGCCCCCACTGTGACTGTTAAGAGGGTGGGAATTCCTATTAAGGTAATTGAAAGGTGGAGCCTTAAATAGGTGATTGGATTGTAGGACCGTGCCGCAGTGAATTGATTAAAAATTGTGGTCAAGGGCGTGGTTCTGAGGGCTTTAAAAGAAGAGGAGAGTCTGTCTTTCTTGCTCTCTCTGCTTCCACCATCTTGCAATGTGAGACCCCCGGGTCACTGTCACGGACCGTGCAGCAGTGAATTGATTAAAAATTGTGGTCAAGGGCATGGTTCTGAGGGCTTTAAAAGAAGAGGAGAGTGTGTCTTTCTTGCTCTCTCTGCTTCCACCATCTTGCAATGTGAGACCCCCGGGTCACTGTCACCACCACCAGATGGACTTTGGACTTCCCAGCCTTAGAAACTATAAGCAATAAATTTCGTTTTTCTTTATAATTACCCAGTTCCATTTACTTTTTCATAAGAAACACAAAATGGACTAATACAATGAGATACCATTACCTATCCTCTAGAATGGCTAAAATTAAAAGATAGATAATATCAAATGTTGGTGAGGATGTGAAGCAACTGAAACTTTCTTGCACTGGTGATGGAAATGCAAAAATGGTATAGCCATTTTGGAAAACAGTTTCTTACAAAGTTGACATAATTTACCACATGACCCAGCAATTCCACTCCTAGTCATTTACCCAAGAGAAATAACATATATCCACACAAAGACTTGTACTTGAATATTCACAGAAGCTTTATTCATAATAACTCCAAACTAGAAACAACCCAAATATCTATTAGTGAATGGATAAACACATCATGGTATGGTATAATGAAATATTACCCAGCAATAAAAAGAAATGAATTACTGAGACACACAACAGCATAGATGAATCTCAAAAGCATTATGCTATATAGAAGAAGCTGGTCACAAAAGGCTATATACAGCATGATTCCATTTATATTAAATTCTAGAAAAGGTTAAATGGTAGTGATAGAAAGCAGACCAGTGGTTGCCAGACCAGAGAGTGGTAGGGGAAGGGAGAGAATGTTGACTTAAAAGGGATATAAAGAAATTTTTTTGGTGATGGAAATATTCTACATCATGATTGTGGGGGTAGTGACATTCATCAAAACTCATCAAATTACACACTTAAAATTGGTGAATTTTGTTGTATGTAAATTATAGCTTAAAAAGTTACTTTAAAAAGTAATTAAAAATAAATAAAAAGTAAATAAAAATAAATAAAATAAATAAATGTGAAGAAAAGAAAAAAAGCAGCAAGAATGCATAACACTTGAGGATTTCTGTTCAAAAGGGAAACAGACAAATGTGCCAGATAATTGGAAGGAAATGTAGAATCAGGGAGAAATTCTTTAGTTAAGAGGTACTATTCCATATTTGGTGCTGATTGGGTAATTTAGTGGGAAAAAAATTAAAACGATGCAGAGAACAAGCAAAAAATTGCTGGATTAATGCCCTTGAGTAGATGACGGGGGAGAGATGCTTAGTTAGGAGAGAGGACAGGCCGCTTACCACTGTGACAAGACCATGTTAGTACAGGGGAGGTTGACTGTGCAATTTAGTGGAGGGGAGCTGTAAAAGTTCTCTTCTGAGTGCTTAGCTTCTGTTTTCTCAGGTAGGATAAAAAAAAACACACTGTTTGGCCTAAGAAAATCAATAAAATTAGTGAAATGAAAGTTGCAGTGGGAATCAAAGGTTTTGAGTTAGGATACTATGGGGGAAGTATAAAAACACATGAACATTTTAAAAGACAATTAAATGAACACCTGTGTTCTAAACAGAGTTTACATCTGTGGTGGGTAATGTGGGGGTTTGATTGAAGAGATGCACATGTGTCACCTGGTTATGCAGTTTTCTATTCCTTGGGTTGGGTGGTGGGGATTCAGTTTTTCATACGGTCATTCATATGGATGCTATACTTCAAAATAAAAGACTTGGATCAGTGGAAGACTGTTTTATGAGGCTCTTCCCTACATCTTAGGGGAACTGGAAACCAGGTAGAACTCCCAGTGACTTGGTGAAACACTCTTATTCTTGGGCTCTCATGCAATGCTGGGAATTAGGAAGTCAAAGAATGGTGAAAGTGGATGTCCTACTCTTCTGGGGTGTAAGTGCTTGAACTGATTTTATTTAAAAGAAGAAACAAAAGAGCTAGAACTATTCTTGAATCCCAAATGTTTGGTCGTGAGGCAGTTCATAAAAGATATATATGAAAATTTTTTGCAAATTACAAAATAATAATAATATTAAAATTCCATTTGAAAAATAGACAAAGAACATAAACAGTTTGAAAAAATACAAATGGCCAATAAAGATTTTCAAGTACTAAAGAATTATAAGTTAGTATGAAATATTATTTTTCATTTACCAGGTCAGCAGTTTTCTAAAATGCGTAATACCCAATGATGGTGGGAATGTGAGGAATTAGACACTATGCTAATGGAGTATAAATCAGTGTAATGTTTTTAGAGGGCCAAAATTTGACTATTTTTAATCATTTACCCATTATCCCATTTTAAGGAGTTTATTTCTTAGAAACACACAATTGCAAAATATGTATGTTTTGCAGCATTAAGTCATAAAGTTGGACAGTTGGAAAGCAAGGTCATAGAGTTGGAAAGTTGGAACAACTCAAAAGCTATCAAGAGAGACGTGATTTGTCACTACCAATCTTTCCAGTCTCATCTCAGGCACTTTCCTCATCTCATTAATCTCTAGTCCAACTGGACTGGTTGCAGTTCCTAAATCTCATCATCCTCTTATTTTCAGGTTCTATGCATACCTAGAAATTGCTCCCTCCTATCCCACTTGCTCATTCCTGAAAACTCAACTTTATGTCATTTTCTGGGAGAAGTCTTCCCTAACCCTCTCCCATAACTAATTAGGGTCTCCCTGCAATTATCATTGGGATCACTCATCATAATAATATAGTAACAGCAGTAATACTGGCTAACTCTTTTATAGCATGTACTATTGCCAAGCATAAGTTCTAAGACACTTTGCATGTATTAACTCAATACTCACAACATCCCTATGAGATAGGAACAATTATTATTCCCATTCTACAGATGGGGAAACAGGCACAAAGTCACTTTTCCAAGGTCATTCTGCTAGAAAGTGGCAGATTCAAACCCAATATCTGTGGCTCATATTTTCTGTTTGAAATCTGTAGGTGCCACAAGGGCAGATCCTACGCTGCATGTTCATTATTGTATTCCCAGCACCTGGCAAGGTGCTTGCCATACAGCACATTCTTAAAACATGTGTTGAATGAATTAATGACTGAAGCAGTTGAATAAATCCATATGATGGACACTTTATAGAAGTCAAAAACAACATGGCAGATATATATATATATATATGTATTGACATGAAATGACATCCAAGATACATTAAGTGCAAAAAGCTAATCATATGCTAATAATAATAAAAAAAAATTAAAAAGTGAAGAAAGCAAGTTACGAATATAACATATAGCATTAATTTTGTGGGGAAAATATATATCAAGATACATATAGGGCCGGCCCGGTGGCGCACTGCTATAGTGTGCCGCTTGGGAGTGCAGTGGCGCTCCCGCTGAGGGTTCGGATCCCACATACAGACCGGTTCCCGCTCACTGGCTGAGTGGGGTGCGGGCGCAACACCGAGGGTTGCAATCCCGTTGCCGGTCCCGGTCCGGTACGGGCGCGACACTGAGGGTTGTGATCCGGTGCCGGACACGAAAAAAGACAAAAAAAGGAAGAAAAAAAAAAGATACATATAGAAAAACATTCAGGAGGTAGGTTTACAAAGCATTGACAATGTTATCTCTTGAGAGATTTTCACTCCTACACCATATATACCTGTAATTTTTATTACCTGTTTATTAATAGCATGTATTAATTTTATAAGCAGAAACATTTTTTAAAGAATTTTTAAAGACCAAATTAAACAACATAAGAAAAATGTAAAATGTGAGATCTCTCAGTGCCTTAGATTAGTCGTTCTCCACACTGGCTAGCTCCCCAAGCAGAGGCTGCTGGGCTCACTCCCTCTCCAGGTAGGCCTGGGCTTGGTTTGCACCCAGGACCTGGGGTTCTTGCCAGACTCCACGTTGACACTGGCATGGCATAAAGCAATAAGCTCTGCAGCTTCTTATCTGAGCTAACCCTAGTAGGCTGAAATATCAAGAGGGAAGGGGAATAAATAGACAAACAACTTACTTTCTTTGTTGTTTTGCATTTCCAGGTGAAGATAATCTACAAATTCGAGGCACCTTCTAGGATTTGACATAAATCTGCGGTACTTGCAAAAACTCTTGACAAAGCCAATCATTTTCAGCCAGCCTCTGTTCTGGAGAAAGAGAGGGGTATAACATGTACATTAGTATAGCTGCTATTCTCTGAGATTCTACTTGGTATTGATTACATTTAATCTTCACAACACCTCTCTAAAGGATTAATTTTTAGCTCCAATTTAAAGGTGATACAATTTAGGACAGAGAGTTTGTGTGCCTTGCCCCAGATTAAGTAGCTGGTGGGTACTCAGATGCCGCACCCACAGCCGGCCAGCAATGAAGCCAGCCCAAAGCCCTTCCCGGGTATCCTGAGAGATGCGACCATGGGCCTCAGCCCTGCCCCTGCTGCCACACACCCAGGCCAGCAAGGGAACCAGCCGCCTGGGATCCTGAGAGCTGGTCAGGCCTGCCCTGCCCCTGCCTGCAACCAAATTGTAGAATGTACTTATTAATGATGTGTGTTTTGGGGGGTGCATGACTTATCTGGGGGGTACCTGACTTATCTGCTCATGTCCTTCACCAAATTTCTACATAGATTTTTCTAATTCATTTTTAAGAGTTCTTTTTTCAATAACGATGTTAAACTTTGTGTATTTGGTGGAATATACTACAAAGCATAGGTACTTCACAGGGCCTGGTTTTTCAAAGCCTTGCAGTTTCAAATATTGACCTTGTGGAGCACTGGAAATTTTCCTCAGGCTATAAAGTCTCTGGTGTAAGATAAAGATTTGTGGCACAGCAAGGTTGCTGGCTCAAGGACAGACTAGTTACTGATTGTTATGTAAAGATACTGAGAAATTGCTGTAAGATCACTTGTCTACTGGAATGTCATCTGGCTTGTTTCACTGAAAGTTACCAGCCTATATTATTAAACTATAACCCCACCTATGTTCTCTTCCTGTAACTTCCTGGTCTGGAAAATAAATGCAGGAAGAGAACCCCAATTCGGGGTTAATTTCCCAAGGAAGGAATGCCTCTCGCTTGAAGTTTCCGGCAGGAGATTAACCACTTTGGGGTCTCTCACTGCTCAGAAGAGATGGGCTTTGAGAAATCCTTTGTGGTTCTGTCACCCAGGGGAAGTGGGGTGACAAATCCGTGGGAGGCAAAGCAACAGCATTTAAAAAAAAAGAGAGAGAGAGAGAGTAGAAGAATGGTTACCAGAGGCCGGGAGAGATGGGGGTGGAGGGAGGATGAGGGGTGAATTAATGGGGACAAAACTATGTTATCTACCCTAAGTGAATCATTGTGTAGGATATGTATGTATATTGAAACAACACAATGTACCCCACAAAAATAAATATAAGTAAAATCAGAAAAAAAACAAAAGAAAAAAAAGTATCTGGTGGGTAGAAGATTCTGGTTCCAACCAGGTGTGCCTAGGGCTATTGCCCTTGCTCCTTCTACCACAGCCTTTCAACAGTAAAGATTTGAGATGCCGTGACTGGGAGAAGGAGTGTGAGAGCTAAAAATGAAAAGAAACAGGATGGAGATAAGCGCAGCTCACAAGAAGGGAGTAATTGCTCAGGCAGATTTTGAAATGTTGAGGAAATAAGGAAATGAGTAAAACTATCTTTAAGCACTTAAAAAAGAAAAATATAATTACATGCACCCACTCATACACCACACACACACGCGTGCACACACGCACACACACGTGCGCACACACACACATACATGCCCACGTGCAAATGCATTTTATGTTTCTTCATCTGTTTCTTACTAGGTATCCAGTGACCACTTTCCAGTTTCCTTACCCTTTGAGAAATTGATATTTAGAATCAGAAAGAATCTTACTTATCAACTAGTTCAGTTGTCTCAGTCTACATACAGACAAGGAACCTCAACATAAGCATGGCTTGAGATAGCCAGTGGTGACGTATAAAAAATAAATATAATTTATTACACTGAATTTGGAATCAGAAACTTTGAGTCTGGAGCCTAGCTTATCCCTAATTGTGTAATTTAGGTCAGTTTATTTAACCTGTATCTAATATCTCCATGTGTAAGGTAGAAACAGCCTTTAGGGTTGTGGTGAGGTTTAGTGATTACATATGTAAACCCTGGTGTAGTGCTTGGCACAAAGTAGGCATTAAGTACATGTTGGTTTGCTTTTATCTAAGAACAACCAGAAGACCTGAAATTAAAACAAGTGTCCTGATTCTGGATATAGTATTATTTTAAATATTTTATATGATTATTCATGGTGCCCTGACATGGAGTAGATTTATATATGGAGGAAATACAGAGCAGAAAGGAGAGAAAAACAAATTTTCACCCCTGGAATATTGGATCAAAGTGCTTAGGCATTATTTTCAGAGGTATTGTAGCATGACCTTTGGAGTCAGACAGAGCTGGGCTCAAATTTTTCTGATACTAACCAACTCTAAAACACATTGAGCAAGTGATTGTTTAAGGGGGTATATATATATTTTATTTTTCTTAAACCATACAAAGAGACTTTCCTGAGTCACATTCCTGTCTCCTCTTTCTTACCTTTTTCTCTCCTTCCATGGGAGAATGAGCTAGACAACTGATGAGTCTGAAAGAAGAAAACGGGCATGCTTTGCTCTTTTTCTTAAACCATACAAAGAGACTTTCCTGAGTCACATTCCTGTCTCCTCTTTCTTACCTTTTTCTCTCCTCCCATGGGAGAATGAGCTAGACAACTGATGAGTCTGAAAGAAGAAAACGGGCATGCTTTGCTCTCAGCCCTTTGCATTCTCTCTCTGGGATTTGCTTGTTTCAGTCCTGCCCTTTGACATACAGTAAGGATCTCATCCTGGTTAAGTAGAGGCCTAAATTGTTGTTATGCCAGTGACTGGATGTGTAAATAAGCCTAATTTGGGTGCAGAGAGGTTTAGCAAAACAACCTGGCTTCACGGGCAACTCATGTCCTCTAAATTAGCTTTGAGCAGTTTAAAAAACCTGACATTTTGATCTCCATGTATTCAACCCCTGCGCCTATCACCCAATTGGTTCTAATCACAGATAGAGAAGAGAGAGTCTTCCCTAAATTCCCAGTGTAACAATTTCTTTGAGCCTCAGATTCCTCCTTTGTAAAATGGGGATATAAAAACCTACCCCCAAAAGTAATTGTTTTAGTGATTAAATAGGCTAACAGTAAAAATTTTTTGTATGATTGAAAATGCATAGGCAGTGGTTTCCTTTTCTCCAATGTCTTGTGTTCACTTTCTTCCTCACTGACCTGCAATTCCTGTAGGTAAGTTGTTGCTGTCTTTGAGGGCTTCCTATGTGTAGTTTGTACTTCAATTTCCACCTCTTGAGGACGAGGTGGGAACAGCTCTTGGTAATCCTTAAACCTGCCAGAAAGAGACCAAGGATATCAGAGGTGGCAAAAAATCTGGCACATAAAAGATAACAGTCAAGGCAAATCTACCCCAGTTTTTGGAGGAAGTAGCAATGGAAATTGGGGAATCGAGAGATACTCAAAAACACTCTTCTTACCATTTCAGTTCTTTGCTAACGTCAGTCTATCCTTTCTGATCAACATTATATCGTTCTTTCTTAAGGCAAATGAACAGAAGTGTGTGTGCATGTGTGTGTGTGCATGTGTGTGTGCAGGTAGGTAGGTAGGAGGGTTCAAGATAAGTTTGGTTTTTTCTTTTGCAGGGAGGCTCTGGCAATGAGCTATGAGAATGGATTATGAGCCTTGATGAAGCTTTCAGAAGCCAATGAGCAACTCCAGAAAGAATCCTTGCCTTCACTGAGCATACTCACCACTTTTCTTCCAGAGACTTCATGACACATTCCTGGAGTATAAACAATTTGCTCATTGTGACATTTTGCATGCGAGTGATGTCTTCGATAATAGGGGCATCACATTGCAGGATATCTTCTAAAAAATGCAAGAGAGAGAAAAAAAGTCATCCTCCTCCTCTACCATGTCTGAGGTAGGAGGTGTTTTTCCATCTTACAGTCTCACAGCCCCCTATTCTCAATCTGGCTAGCCACTGACCCCTCCACAATTTGTTTGCAAATCTCCAAAGCATATTTGGAATGTTATGTGCAAGTGGATTTGTATATCAAATACTGTCCTGATTTAGTTCCATTCAAATTTCAGAGATGAGTGCTTCGGGGAAAAGACATTTTAAAAAGACTCATTTCTACAACTGGTTTGAAGTTCTGCAACTGGTTTGAAGATGTAGGGAGAGAGCAGAAGAATAAAGGATTAAATTTAAATTGCTGGGGAAAATGGGAAATCCAAGATTAGAAATAAATATTGTAAGGGCAATGTGGTTCTCCAGGTGTTCAGAGACTGTTGAGCTCATTAATGAGACTCGAAAACTTATCAAGGATCTGGGTACCCCTCTTTCTTGTCTAGCTCATTCAAAATTATGTATAGAACTTGACATGCTGAGATTCAACAAGTAAATATTTCTTACAAATAAAGATTTGCTAATTTTACCTCTCTATACTCATAAAATTTATTCCCTTATTTTGGTTTACTGCAAGCAAAAAACAGACACACAAAAATCCCATCTGTTTATCTGTGACAAAATAGGAGGCTCTATCTTCACTGCTTTGCTATAGATTTGTTTACCTCCAGGATGGGATCATGCTCACCCTCTTTTGTTCTCCTTTAGAATCACAGGTCAATACTTTAGTTGTAACTTCTGCTTTTGAGCAACATGAATTTACATGGGCCAGATTTACCTTCTTGCCTTAGGCAAGAAAATAAGACAAAATTTTTGAAAGATTTCCAGATGTACGGTTCTCCTTCCCATACAACTCTCTTTGCAATCCATGGTGGGTGACCACTCCAACTTTGTATACAGCTAACCCTTTTGTATCTAATGCCAGACTAGTCGATTTGATGGTCAAATGACAAATTTGAATTCAGGTTCCACCAACTGAAGAAGCTAATTAACTTCTCTGTGTTTCACCTTCTTCATTAGTGAAGTGGAGATATTCATCCCTATCCTACAGTGATTAAACAAAATTCTATTTTCAGAATCAAATAAAATCAGACGAGAAGATTTATGTGAAAATATCTTGCACTTGGTTTCTTTTACTAGTATTACAGGCTTGGCAGATATTCATCCCTATCCTACAGTGATTAAACAAAATTCTATTTTCAGAATCAAATAAAATCAAACGAGAAGATTTATGTGAAAATATCTTGCACTTGGTTTCTTTTACTAGTATTACAGGCTTGGATTGATTATTGCTGTTCTTTGCTTAACTGTTCCTCTTAATCTTTGTCTCAATACGCCCCCACGTGGTCGCTGCCTAGCTCTGCTCTCTCCAAGGGCTCACATGAGATGGGCTATTTCCAGATTATTCTCCTAAAACACTATGCATACCGGGAGAGATATTGCCATGGAAGTAAGTCTTGATTAAATTTTCAAGGAGAGACTTTTGAATCTTTTCACTGGACTCCAAACTGATCTTTTGTGCTGCAATCAGGAACTGCAATGGGCCTTCAGCCTTCCGTTCTTTGAGGAACTCCCTGAAGAACTCCAAGTGGTGTGTATTTAGGAAGACTTCTGTTAAAGTTCTGGAAAACAAGATAGCACCATTAGCAGAGAGAAAGGGATGATGACCCTGGATTCTGTTCCAGTTAGGAAATGGGGAAGGGCATCTCCCAGGCTGTATGGCCTTTAGCTGCATGTGAAGAGCATGGTAGATGAATTGGTTAAATCTGTCTATTTTCTTGAAGATGAACTTGAACTTTTACTCATCCTTCCTAAGCTTTGTCCAATCATTTGATAATCCCAATGGAAGAGGAAGGGAGATTTCTTAAAGGGCATAATTTTTTTTCAAGGGAAATTTCTTTTTATATTATGAATTCAAAACAACTCTTAATTGGCAATTATTCTTGTGAGGCAGAACATGACTGATCAGTGGTTATTGATCAACATTTCTAAATTTTCTTTGCTGATTTTTTCTTTCCTTGCTCCTTGAATATAGGTGCCCTTAATGTTGCATCCTCAATCCTTTTTCCTTTTCCCTTATGGTTTTTCCTGAGAATCTGTGCCTCATTTGTGGTTTCAATTTTCATTGATATGAGGAAGTGGTTTAAATTTTCACTAATATGGTAAAACTATCTGCAGTTTCCATGAGCTCCATTTCCAAATTTCAACTGCCTATTGAACCTCACCTTTATGTCATAGTTAATTATTTAAACCTCTGTAAACACACCCACATGTTGTCCAACTTGTTTTCCTCCTTTATATATCTATTTCATTAACTATGATATTAGCTATAAGTTTTTAACAGATTGCCCTTTATCAGGCTGAGATTGTTCCCNGTATATTGAAACAACACAATGTACCCCACAAAAATAAATATAAGTAAAATCAGAAAAAAAAACAAAAGAAAAAAAAGTATCTGGTGGGTAGAAGATTCTGGTTCCAACCAGGTGTGCCTAGGACCATTGCCCTTGCTCCTTCTACCACAGCCTTTCAACAGTGAAGATTTGAGATGCCGTGACTGGGAGAAGGAGTGTGAGAGCTAAAAATGAAAAGAAACAGGATGGAGATAAGCACAGCTCACAAGAAGGGAGTAATTGCTCAGGCAGATTTTGAAATGTTGAGGAAATAAGGAAATGAGTAAAACTATCTTTAAGCACTTATAAAAGAAAAATATAATTACATGCACCCACTCATACACCACACACACACACGCGCGCGCGCGTGCACACACACATACATGCCCACGTGCAAATGCATTTTATGTTTCTTCATCTGTTTCTTACTA